TCCACACACTTAATGTTGCAGTCTTCCACAGATCTGTGGTGCTGTGTGTGTTTCTGTTATTGTTGTTAGAAGCAGGAAGTGACTGGTTAATCTGCTAAATTAACAAAATTATTCTGATTTTTGGGTAATTTAGAAGCTACTTCTACCTTTTGTGTCAGTTTTCTTCTGTGCAAATTTATTCCAACTATTTTCTATGTGGAGGAGATTTCCTAAAGTTTCTGGCCTAAATTTAACTTCCTTATGCATTTCCAGTATTGTAGCAAATTCACAAAGAAAATGGGTATATTTTCTGTTATTTGTGGACATTTGGGTTGGGGCTTACAGACAAACACATTTGCTCTATTTGCCATCTCGATCCAATTTCCCAAGTCTCTTTTGATTAACATCTGTGTTGCTACTTTATATACTGATGTACCCTCGTGAATCTCATCATTTTTATGAGACCCTATATAATGGTCTTTTGACTTGGTGGTGATGTCATCTTTGGGTGACCTCTTGGTATTTGAAAGGTAGATATTTGGCAAATTCTCAAAGATAGAGAATGCATCAACCTATAAGGTACAGGCAGTTTTGAAAAAGGCTATAGTTATTTGAACATGGTTGTGTTAGCAAGAAATGGGACTGATGTTTTAGGATTTTTACCTGGAAAGTTAACTATAGACAAAAAACCCCAAAGTGAGACTGTTGAAGAGTGCTACACCACATTGCCAAAATTTTTCCTAAATAACCTGTCCCTTGCCTATTTATCATTCTAATGTTGACCTAACACTCTAGGAGGCTGTGTCTATAAATGAAGGATGTGTTTGTGCACTAAATCAAGTGCTATTTGCTGAGGATACCATGACTTCCGTTTGACTTTCTTGCTGATAAAAGCAGATGGGAAAGGTTTTCTTTCGTTGTTTGCTTTCACATTAAAAACAAATACTCACTGCCAAAAAACAGGATTCAAGTTCTACAGCTCCTCCTCACAGCTGTTTATTTAGAGGTGGTCCAAAACTCTCCTAAGAACATGAGAAAGCCACAGGAAGCCAAGTCAAAGCATCATTTGCTAGCTCCCCCACCCCTATTTTTTTTTTTTTTGTCCATTGTATCAGGTTACTTGTAACATTGAGAGCTGATAAGGTACTGAATTCATCAAGGATACAGTTTATCGACAACTTTTCCATGTTACAGAGTAAGAAAGTTTATGAAGCCTACATAAATAGGCAACTTAGATTTAGTATTAAAAGAATATTGAAAGAAATTTATGAAAATTTAAAGGCTTTATAATGCCATTTATAATGCCAAGTGTAGAGATATTCTACACTTTAGTATTATAATAAATAGACATTAACCCAATATTTTTTTAATTGAGGTTATAAAAACAGAGCCAAGGTAAGGGATGGGTCATTATTTGTGGGTCTTCACCCATGTACTCTCAATTGCAAGACACCACTCAGTCTCAGGGTGCAACAGCAAATGGGGTTATTGACAAAGGGGATATTGGGAAAAAGAAAAGCATTTCTAAGGCCACCAATGATTGATGTCTCACCCCCAGATAGTGTTTGCAGTGTCCAGTAATCCAAAACAAAGGCTGCTTATGCAAGATGGCATTGTCCCTTCAATGAGAGCCTGCAGCTGGTGGCATACCAGCAAGCAGTTATCAGAATCCAACTCTTGTTAGTAGCTGGAGTTGCTGACAAGGGGGGCTGCTGAATTGACACCATAGCAGCCCATAGTAGAAATCCAAAGGCAAAACTGGACATCATCACATACCAGACCAGACAGTGCTGGAGGCAACATCACCAGGAGGTGGTGCTGGAGGGTTAGGAGTAGTTGACAGCATTCAGAGGTGGCCAGACACAGTTCAGCAGTGTTGGTCACCGCCATTCACCAGGAGGTGATTCCAGAGTCATCAGTTTTACAGCTCTTTGAGAATTGTTGGCATAAACACAAACAGCTCATTTAGAGACACTGGGTGCAGACAAGTGGTATTCTTTGCAGGTAATGTCAGGCAGGGCTGGAGGTAGGTGTAGTGGCTAAGTCTCTGTGAAAGTTTATAGAGGTCTTGAAGTCTACAGAGATCTTGGTGATATCTGCAGATGTCTAAAGAATTCTCTGCTAAGGACTCTGGAGATCTCAAATCCTGATGAATCTGTTAAGGGTATGCAGCTACCTACTGAATGAATTTTTTTGAAGCTCTTTGATGAATGAAACAAATTAGCTACTTCTCTGCTTCTATCTTCTTCAGGTTCCCCACCATTCAAGCTTTATTGGGCTGTTTAAAATCCCAGCTGTTTGGTGCTGGTTAAGCATAAATAGGACCAGTCTACTTGCAGTCCTCAGTGGTCTTAAAAACCTTGAATGACACCAGTGAAAGCTTGAACCTGATTGGCCCATTGAGAATTTGAATCTCATTGGTTCCATTTTCAATCTCAGTGCTGTTGCCTTATTCAAAAGTGAAATGCTGGCCACCTTTATAAACCTGACCTATGCTGAGGTCAGGGCAGCCTCATCAGCACAGGGGAGCCATGGCAGGAACCGGTTTCAGAGGGATGATTACTGCATCTAGCATGCTTCAGCAGGGCCAGGTATAGTGATATAGTGGTCCCCCACAGCAGAGGAGCCACCTGAGTGCAGGCTGCTGCTCAGAGCCTGCCATGCTGGCCTTGCATGTGATAGGCCTCTCTCCTGGGCTGGGGTAAGCCGAGCCACTGGAACCCTAGGACTAGCTTGTTCTGGAGTAGGGCAAGGAAACCATAACGCAGCTGCTTGCAAGACTGGCCTGGGAGGCTGCCCTTAGGCTGCATTCTGAGGCTGAGGTAGGGCCCCTGTAACAGTCACATTGGTTTGTAACTTTGTATAAGTTTATTTATTATTATTTTTTAAAGATTTATTTATTTATTTATACAAGCACTGGGTACAGTCAGAGGCGCGGGAGGGTGAGAGAGAATTCACCAGAGCCAGAGCGGGGAGCAGAACAGACAGACTGATGAAATACACTTCTGAGGGGAGCAGCGGGCGCGGCAGGAGAGGTCTGCGTGCCATGTGGGATGCTTGCCAGTGGGTCTGCAGAAGAACAAGCTCTGCAGAGGCTGCGGGCAGCTTTGCAGCCCAGTGCTCAATCGCTGCGCCACTGGGGAGTCCCTATATAAGTTTAATTTGTACAACATTTTAATTTGACTTCTGTATACAGTATATTGTGTTGCCTGTTTCAAGTCTAGTTTCCATCTATCACCATACAGTTGAACAGTTGACGTCCTTTTGTATTTTGGCCTCTCCAAACTCCTTTTCTTCTGGTGATGAGCAAACAAAATGAAACAAAACAGATTAGTGATTAAATCAATCGTTTTTATGAAATAGAATTTTGGTGTAGTATTTATAGCTTCTGTAAAATAATGTGATAGACTCTTCTGACTTTATTATGGTAGTCACTGAAAAGAGTTTAGAATCCCATAATTCTGTAATCCAGAGGTTAACATCTTAAGCATTATAGGCACTAGATTTAATTCTCTATTTTAAAGATTATATACTTTTATCAATATATTTTATTTTTATTTAACATTCTACCTTCAACAATATTTTAATAGACAATTTGTTAATATGAATAAAATTTTCCCCTCTGTTGAGCAATGTTTTTCTCTTATGTAAATTACAGTAATATAATCAACATTGTTGCAAATATATATGTTATTAATGATAAGTGTCTAATAATATTATTTTCTTGGGGTTAATTTTGAGATGGAGAACACTTTAAAGAGGTGTATTAGTTATCTAGTTATAGCTTTTGCGTCCCAAATTATTTCTAGGATATTGCTGGTTCTAGGAGGTGAGTCTGTATTTCCTTATTCTCTCTTTAATCCAAATAGCATTTCCCTGGAAGTTGAAGACCATTCTTCCATCAGTGTCATAGTTGCATTGCATTATTGAAGCTGCCAAACCATTTTCCAGTATCCATTTGAATAATCTGAACATTTTCTCAGGCTCTTAGTAACTCCTGACAATACTTAAGTTATTCCTAGAAAAGCTGAACTAATTTATATTGCCTCCAATGTTATCATAACCATTATTGGATATTATTATTTCTTTAAATTTTTTGATCAATATTAAAAATGTCATTTAGGTGATATTTTAACTGACATTTATTTGTTCATAAAATTTCCCAACCTTTTGCATTTCTTTTTGTGAAATATACACTTAGGCCATTCATTCATTTTTCAAGTGGTTTATGTTTTATATCTATGTAATTTTGGTTAATTAGAAGCATGTGAAAATTGACACAAGGCATTACCATATTTCTAAAAAGTGTTCTACTTTAAAGTATTTTAAAAATTTATTTTATGAACTAAACTATTTACGTATATTTTAGTAAGAAAATGTGTTTTCTTTTTGAGTGCTTTTAATTTAGATCATATTTAAATTTTTAACTTTTATTTTTTTAGATTTTTTTATTTTTATTTATTATGCATTCAAGAACTGGGGTGTAGGCCAGATGTGTGGGGATAGGAGGAGGTGAGTGAGAGGATTCACCAGAGACAGAGTGGGAAGCAGAACAGGCAGATCTACTGAAATACACTGCTTGGGGGAGCAGTAGGTAAGACAGGAGAGGTTTGCTATGTCATATGTGGTTTAGCTCCCTGGCCGGGATCTAACGCATGCTGCAGTGTCTGTGGACAGCTTCATAGGTTGCATCTTAACCCCTTGTACTGCCAGGGAGGCCCCATGAATTGTTAACATTTAAATAAAATCTTTTCATGCTATAGACAAGGCTTAGTTGGCTAAATTGTGCTTTCATGGAATAAATATGCCCATATGCACAATTTTATGTCTTTTATTTCTTTTTTTATTGCTTATTTCATAATCATAAACTTAACTCTGTAATTGAGCTATTGATAGACTTGGGAGAGAACAAAGATTATAGGATATTTTAAGAAGATGGGGATGAAGGAGTGCTCTCATGAGCGACAGAAGTTAACGATAAAACACAAGTCACATTTATTAGATTTGTCTATAGTCAGCAATCATAAATTCTTCTTGCTGGCTTTGCCATTCCTAGACCCACAGACCTCTATGGCTTCTACAATAGTAATGCCGTCCTTTACCTTGCCAAGGACCACATGCTTTCCATACAACCACTCAGTCTTGGCAGTGCAGATGAAAAACTGGGGACCATTAGTGTTGGATCCAGCATTTGCTATTGACATGCTTTCTGAATCTGTATGTGTCAGGTTGAAATGCTCATCATCAAATTTCTCCCCATAGATGGACTTCCTGTCAGTGCAATTATTGTGTGTGAATTCACCATCCTGACATGTAAATCCTGGAGTAATTCTGTGAAAGCAGGAATCTTTATAACCAAATCTTTTCTCCCCAGTGCTCAAAGCACTAAAGTTTTCTGCTGTTTTTAAAGCTTTGTCTCTAAATAGCTTATAGTAGAAGAGGCCAAAGGGCTCATGGTTGACAGAGATGTGGAAGAATATGGTGGTGTTCATCATGGTTGCTGGACAGGGGATCTCCGGCAGTGGTGGCATCTGCATGGTGTGTAATTTTTTTTATTTCTTAATTCTTCCTTCAAATAATATCCAATCACATATTCTCTGTTACTTACAGCTAACTTTATTCAGATAAAATTTCAAAATATTTTGTATGCATTTAGCACTAAGCAGTGATCTGTATTTAATTTTTTAAGACTTGTTTAGATTCTTTTCTTTTCTAGTGTCTAGCCTCAAAATTTTGTAATGTCAGAAGATAGGCCATCCGAGATTAGTTGCATTTTAGGACTCCCCTGGTTTGAAGTTACCAGACTAGGCTTAGCAAACAGGTTTGAAGGATTTGATCTGATGACTTGGAATTGTAGGTGCTGAGTTTTTGCCCAGACTGAATACGATGCTATCTATTTTGCATTTCAAGCAAACTAGCTCAGTTGAGTCCATGGATCTGTCATCAAATGCAGCTCTGATTTCAGCTTTAACTTATCTAAATATAGACTTACTGTGAGTGACAAGATCCTAGTAAATGGCATTCTCTGCCATCCTCTTTGATATTGTTTCTAGTATGATGACTCATGGCTGCTCTACTTTGCCCTAGAAACTGTTTAATTACACTTAGGGACTTTCATTGAGTAAAAGCATCATTGACAGATCAGCTGCCACCCTGACAACTTGGATTGTTATTCTGCTGTCTAGAGATGACAGTGTTTACTTTTCAGACCCTGACCATCTAAAGGGAATTTCAACTGGAATTCTATACAGTCTGATGCTGTCAGGTGGAAAGACAATCAAAATTTTGTAAACACAGATACTAATGTCTTGGCTTCTTGATGGGAGCCCATAAAACTCACTGTTAAATAGCTATATATTTTGTTTTGTCATAAACTATTTGGTATGACCAAAATAACTACCTCGTTTAATTTTATATTATATTCAGCTAACAAAAGCATCCATGAGCACAGCTTTGACTTGAAACCTACTTGTTACAATGTAACAAGTAATTACAAGAACTTGAACAGTGGACTCATTTAGGAAGCAGTTCCTTTTGGTTTTGCAGTGATGTCCACTTCTTTGAATGACACATACCTTACAGTCACTAAGTTTGGTTTTTTAGGCTTTCATTCAAAAGGTTACCTAGTGGCTAGAAATGGTCATGAAATACCTGATGTAGGCATCAGTTGTAAAGTGATCCTTCCTTGCCTTGAGTGACTTTCATATTCATTTCTCACTTGAAACCTTTGCATTCTGAGTGTACACTCAGCTGAAAAGTGATGCCAGTGAGGCGGATTGTATTTCACCCAAACATGTTTTCAGAATGGTCAGAATGCTTTTCTTTCCCCAGATGGGGAACACAGGAGGCTTCTCACTGGTAGGTTTTACAGTTGAGAAGACTGACAGTGCTTTGCTCACTCCCTCTTTTATTTTCATGGGTGGAAATGTGAGGGAGCAAGTTTTAAAAATCATGTAAATCTTTCAGCAAGAAAAATGCCCTTTCTTGAATCTTTTCTGATTGCTACTTTCCCATCACCAGCTCACTTTCTCTTCCAGAATCATTGAAGGTTAACTACTTCATTTTGGAAACCATGGATTTGGGAAAAAATAATGTTCCAGAGTTTACTGTTGCCTTTGACTCTTGCAAATCAGTTCAAGTGGGTGGAAAATACTGTGAAGGTCAGCATTTGGTTTGTAAACTCAGCCAGAGGCAGGTTGTTACTTAGGTTGCCTAGTCCATCACGAATCTGCACAAGCAGCACTCCTGTTTTCTCATGTCCCAATGGTGGTGCTTTTTTTTAGTACCACTCTGGAGCAAGTTATGAAATTGAAAAGGTGATCAATTGATAATTTATCCTTACAAATGTCAGGATCCCTTATGTCTGGACTGCACCCTAGGATCTCACAAGGCCACTGACTTTAATCTCACTCTGGACTACATGAGGACTTTTGTTGACCTTAGGCATATTAGCCTTCATGGGCCCCTTCTTCCATTAAAAATATTAAAATTTTATTTTAAATTGTAAGATGTAAGGGAAAATATAATCCAGATTGTTTAGGATATATTTATTCATATTACATTCATTTTATCTTCTGGTTTTAAAATAAGATAAAAAATTTCATAGGATCCTAGAAGTTTTACGCTCCATAGTCATTGTTTCATCCTCATTTATTTGACCAAATACATTTTTTAACAAATTTTTTTCCAAAGATTTATTTATTTAACAATACAAGAACCTGGGGTACAGGCCATAGGTGCAGGGATGAGAGGATTCATCAGAGACAAAATGGGGAACAGAACAGGCAGACTGACTGAAATACACTGCTGAGGGGAATAGCATGCGAGACAGGAGAGGTCTGCTGCACCATGTGGGTAGCTCCCTGGCCTGCCAGGGATCTGATTCATGCTGCAGAGGCTGTGGATACCTTCACAGTGCTATGTCCTTGCACCACCAGGGAGGCCCTTGACCAAATATGTTTTTATTTGTCCTTTCATTTAGGCTATAAATATTCCTTTAAGTCAAGCCCAGGTCTTGCTGTATTGCTGCAAGACCATTTCACATGGGATGTTACCTTAACAGTCAACTGCCAGCTGGTGATTTATCTTCACTGGGAAAAAATCACCCTGTATTATGGTTTTTTACCTAGTTCTAGCATTACTATTTGCTAGAACCCCCAGTACCTCGGTCAGCCATTAAATCTGACTTCTGGAATACCAACAGGCACGGAATACACTTTAATTACATCAGCTGTGTTATTTGTAGTACCAATTTATTTTCCAAAGTGACCAGTCCTACTGACGGTCTCTTGAGCCTGACTTTCTTCCTTCCGTCTTTCATTGCAGCATTGCATTGCAGCTTCCCTTACTGGGAAATCTAACAGTTACTTGCTGATTGCTGGGAAGATGATGTGGACAAAACAAGTATGCTAATATTGATATGAGCACATTCTATATCTTAGAAACGGTTGTATTCTCTGTGACAATTTAATCTGAGTTAGAACTCTGGGTCTCCCTATGCTCTCTCCAGCTTTCCCTTCTGTACCCAGAAAAGTTGTTTACTTCACCTGTGGTCACTTTTGTTCATAAAGTAATTTAGCAAACACTTGTTAAAAGCTTTTTTTTTTGGTGCCTTTGCTGTGTACTCCCCTGTTGTCCACAGACTATGAGAGACTGGGTGCTCTGCAGTTGAAATTACAATTTAATACTTGTTTGCTTGTAATTACAAGGCATACCACTTGTAATACTTTTGTTTGGTCTTTGATTATAAAAATCATACACTTTTTTTTGGAAAAAGAAAACATTCAAATAATAGCTTAGTATAAGAATGCAGAAGTGAGTTTTGTGTTGTCTCCCTGATTCTACTGGTTAAATTTCTTCCATTTAAGGGTTTTTTTTTCCTTGTCTTTTTCTCTGTTACATCCAAATTTTTGATTTCTTCTTTACTCTGAAACTTTTTATTATCCTTTTATTTTTTTCTTTTAAATTTTTCTTATTTTCTACTTTCTTTTTTCTCCATTTATTTATGTAGTGGAAGAACTGGGGTAAAGGCCAGGAGTAGGGGTGTGTGTGAAAGGATTCATCAGAGACAGAGTGAGGAGCAGAACAGGTGGATTGACTGAAAAAATACACTGCTAAGGGGAGCAGCAGGTGAGACAAGAGAGGTCTGCTGCACCACATGTGGGTTAGCTCCCTGGCCAGGGAACTCAGGTAGTAGCACTGATAGTGCTGAGACTTAACCCCTAGGCCATCAGGGAGAAACATCTACTTTCTTAAGAGTTTTTCCTATCAATTGTGCTGACTCAACAATTTTGTCCTTGAGATTTCTGTTTGTGGTTGCTCTCTTTTGATTTTATTCTTTGTATTATGTCTCTGAATATCAGGACAGAGGAATTATACTTAATTCCTTTGTATTATACTTAATTAAAAGTGTAAATGCCACTTTTAATATCCTGGAAAGAAATTAATATTGTACATTTATGTATATCTCCATCTTATAAGATCTCTACTACTTTAATGATGTGTCTTTGCATTTCAAACTATGTGTTCAACTTTTATGTAAAGAGTGAAATTATTTTACATTGTTTTGACATATAACTCCCTTACATATTTACCTCTGGAAGTTGAGAAATCATTCCACTGGATATGTAGTAGGTGTTTGGTGTCTCCCACTTACCCCTGCAGCGTACCTTCCCTTTATCTTTCTTACTGTTTTTGCCCCAGGAAACTAAATTGCATGCACCATAGCCCAAAGTTTACTTCTGTACTGGTTTCCCATTGAATTTGGTCAGTGAGGAGCCTGGGAAGTTGGAGACAAAAAGAAAAGTCAGGTTGATGCAACCTCCCTGCTACGATACTGTGGATTGGTCATTGTCCTTCTTTTGATTTTTTTTTAAAGATTTATTTATTTTTATACAAGAGCTGGGGTACAGAATGGAAGCACAGGAGGGTGAGAGGATTCATCAGAGACAGAGTGGGGGGCAGAACAGGCAGACTGATTGAAACACACTGCTGAGGGGAGCAGCGGGCGAGACAGGAGAGGTCTGCTGTGTCATGTGGGAATTTCCCTGTCCGGCCGGGAATCGAACCCTCTCTGCAGAGTCTGTGGACAGCTTCACAGCACTGCGCTCATCCCACTGTGCCACTGGGAAGGCCCGATGTCCTTGTTTTGAACACTACAGCTCCTGGCATGCAGCCTACACCATGACCGTCTTCCTCCACATTGTAGTGCCCGATTCTCTCCCTGTTCCTTCTGTCCAGGGATTGGTAAGGAAGATGAGAACGCTGAGATGTTTCATTTTTCTTCCTACACTCTTCCCACACCATAATAAATAGTTGCTTTATTAAATTCCCCTTAATTACTTAGCCTGAGTGTACCATATTTTTCTGCCAGCGTGCTTAGTTGATATGCCATGCCGATTGAAGCTATTCAGAGGATATTCCTTAGGTTTTCCTTTTTCTCATAAAATAGATTTTGTTTGCTGTTTATTTTAAATTCACTAAATATAATTGCTGC